AGCAAGTCGAATTTGAGCTTCTTTTATACAATTAAATTAATTAGTAACAACTTCATTGCAATCTAACATTCTAGCCATGATATCACACTTTAATTGTGACATAACATTCTAACTACAATGCTAATTTCTAAATAAGGCTAACTAATTTCAACATTATACGAATAAAAATGAAAATAAAATAATAAAAATGTAAATAAATATGAATAAAATAAAATAAGAAATAAAATATAAGGAATAAATAAATATAGATATAAAAATAAAAAATAGAAATAAAAGATTTGGTTCGGAATTAGGGTATTTAAATCCTAATTCTGGTAACACATGTTTGAAAGATGGTAAATGGTGAAAGAGCAAGTGATACCTCAAACAAATGAAGCATGATTTTTTATGTCTTTGCACACTGTGTATGTAAGTATTAACTTTAAAAGTTGATATGAGAGACACTAACATCTGCAATTATCTCAATTATCTGTTTCTACTATTTATATGTAAGATAAACATTTAAAGGACTTTTGTATTGAAAAGAAAAATTAATAAAAGAAATTATTTTTAATAAATTGTTTTAAAACTATTAATATAAAAATAATACAAAGTGAACATAAAATTATATATATAGGGATAAGTGTATATGAAAAGTAATAGTAAATATAATGGTTCTAATGAATATCAAAAAGCAATTGATTTTTTAGAAAAAGGTTGTAAATGTGGTTGTTTTTCCAGAATTCCTAAGGAAGAATTTGCAGAATTAAGGGAATCTTTTCAAGCTCTTTCTAAACAGAGCAAGACATATTTTTAATGGCCCAACTTAAAGCAATGGATGGTGGGTCAATAAGCAATAGTAGATGCCTTAAGAAGAAAATGAGTATCATTTATTTTGAAAATATAAGGAGCAATTTTTTCACCTTGCTCTTTCTTCAGAATACTTCTAATGGTGCTATAATTCTTGGGTTCCATAGTAGATCTGATGTAAATTAATTTCATATTAACTATTTTTGTCTAGAGATAATCCTATATATCACTTAACAAATGTGACATTATAAAACTGATCACATTACAATTGTGATGGAATGACTAAATTTTGATCCCTGAAATCCTTGATAATATTGATGTTCACTTTGTCTGGTTTTGTTGCAGCATGCCCCAAATATGAATGTTTATAAACATTGTTAATGTCATAATATTTTCTCCTTTTAGAACTTACATTAAAATTGGGTGCAAGTATCATATATTAGTGTTCCATGTCACAACCCAAAAAAGGAAACCAAAGTGGTTGCAAAGGTGGTTGCAACCAGGTGTTGCAAACCATTTTTATATGTTGCAAATATGGTTGCAACCATCACCAAGAATTGCGACCAGTATCTATATCATATATGTTTGAAGAAGTTATATGTATACTTGGATTAACAGGAATAATTATTCCATGAACTGTTGAAGCATTTCCAAAATGTATAGAGGCTATATACAGTATAAATTTCTTTCATGAAAAGTTAGTTTCCTGAATTTTTTGTTTTTCACTATATTTTTTTCTTTACTAATTTAAAATCTTTCTATTTCATAAGTCTCATTCACAAAAAAAAACACAAAAATTTATCATGAATTGTTAGGTAAGACTTCAACTGAGCTGAAAAACAAAAATTTTTTTTTCATCACCAAAATTATTAAATCCCAATTATATGTAATTTATTAAAAAAAACCCCATCAATATTGCTTTTTAACTTTATTTTTATCATGTAAATGCTTTTTTTTCCTTCTCACTCAATCATTTATGGTTATTTTATTGATAAAATATATCAAATTTGCAAGGAAATTTTTCTTAAAGATTATTATTAAAAATGAATAATATTATAAAAATTGAGGTGTTAAAAGTCCTAATTTGGTAATAATTTTCTTGACTAAATAGTTTTAGTCAGTTTAGCCAAATACCCATTTAGGTTACACGGCCAGCCCTGGTGGAAAACAAAAGTGTGGCTTTGGTGAATGCTAGTAAAATTATCCATTTTGGTCAATTTTTTCGCCTTTTCTTTCTTCAAAATACTTGTAATTCTTGGACTCCATAGTAGATCTGATGTAAATGAGTTTCATAACAAATGTGACATTATAAAACTAATTGTGATGATAATAACTAAATTTTGATCCCTGAAATCCTTGGTAATACCAATGTTCACTTTGTTTGGTACAGTATGTCCCATATATGAGTTGACACTTGACCTCCTGTAGATCTGCAATGTCCTGCGGCTGTTATCTAATACATATTTTATTCATTAAAATTATTGTTTATATATCAATAAAAATACTTTTTCATCAACGAGTTGTATTTTCGACATGATTTTTCAGAATCACACATTGGACCTATTTTGTGTGGACCTTTGTTCAGCAATTATAGAGCTTTTATTAATATATTTGATAAAATGGTTGGTATTTATTGCAATTATCTTTTAGGGGGCTAATAAAACTTGTAAAATGCTTGCATCCTCCTCTGGTATTACTGTAACTCATAATATAGAAGTTCTGGTGATAGAACATAGTAAATTTACTGTTAATACCGGTAAAGTGCCATGATGATAAGCTAAAAGTTTGTGTGCTGATGCACGATCAGATAACAAGGCTATATAAAGAATTAAAGAAGGGTAGAATCATTACATCCAGTAAGTTTACTTATACCTTACCCTTTACCATTGAAAATAGATAAAGAATTTTGAATTATTTTCTGTAGATTTACCTTCCACTATTTCAGATTTTAACACTTTCCGAATTAATTAAATTACGTGCAAGTTTATTTTTATTATATATATATACTGACACTTAATAAATAATTTTTGAATAGTTGGCGGTAAACGATAATTAGAAGAGTCAATATCCCCAATTGAATCATGAGTGCGAATGTTGATAAATTCTACTTTCATTAAACAATGACAGTAATAATTATAATAATGAACATATAAGAGATTCTTTATGGTGGATGAATTACCTTCATATGATTCAATTTAACGGTAACAATATAAGAATGGAAGATAATAAATAATGGCAGTCGATCGTCAGTCCATATATAATTTTTAAATGTAATAATTTCTAAATTAGCTGTCACAAGGGACATCAAAATTTTTTCCACGTAACATAAAATTTACAAATTATTACAAGTCATCATCTATAGACTTGACCCATATTTTATGCGATGGTAATATAGGATGCTCAATGTGATGCACAGAAGACAAAAGACATTAATTATTTCATACCATAAAATATTATATTATTAATAATTTATATTTGATGAAATAATGAATCAAAGAGAGAATTAATTATTCAGCTTGGAATACTATGGGAGAAAACGGAATTTCACATGACATTTGCATTGTACAAAGATTACGTTAGTTTTGATAAGGGCGATGATTTGATTGATAATGACGATGACGATATTATTGTTATACTAACAAGTTTTCAAAACCAATCCGATTAAGGTAAATAAGATATGATTGGTTCATAAAGGCACATGCATTTGTTAAACAAGTCTTCTTATTTTTTTAATTGGGAAAAAGAGAGGGAACAAGTGACACATTTCTTTACTCCACAAAACAATATTAAAAATTCCTTTAAAATTGTTTTTTATTAATAAAAAAAAGATGAATAAGATCAGTAAAATAATTAAAATAATTAAAATAATCACCAACTTGCATGGAAATAATTAGAAAAAGGGTGGGTGGTTTGTTTATGATAATACATATTATATAAACTAAATAAAAAAAAGTTTGTGTTTGGGCCCCAAAATTTTTAAAAGCGGAGAATTCAAAAATTATGCCACATTCACTCACATATAGATGCTTTTCTGCGTTATTTTTCGCATGGTAGCACACTGAACCAAAAAGTATAAAAAAAATTTCATATAAATTTTTAAAAAAATTTTTTTTATTTATTTATTTGTAACTATCTAGTCAAAAACTGTTTGTGTATTTATCATTTACTCCGGCCTGCTCAAAGAGTTTCCAGTTATTAACCGTCACTTGCATCAGTTTGTCTTTACCCCCCAAAAAAAACTATTCCTTTCAAAACTAAAAGAGACTCCTTTGACCCCTTCCACCACACACAAAGTACAATAACAATGGCTATTACTGTAAGTTTTCTTATTTTTTGGTGCTTAACTATAAAGTTCAATAAATATGATTGGCGGTATATGATGGACATTTGAGTAAAGGATGATAACTAGTATTTTATCAAACAAGCATAAAAAGTTTTTTCTTCTTTTTAGCTTTAAAAAGCAAAAAATTAACTCAACATGGTATTTATAATAAATTAATGAATTAATGTCTTCTTTAAATTTTTGGTTTTTTTAGGCACGCGAAAACCAGGTATTTTGAAACCGTGTATCATCTTTAATATAATTGTATATTAGTTATCAAAACAAATTATATTGATTTCTGTTTATATATATATATTGACTATTAATTAATGAATTACTAAAGGTTTACATGGCTAAGCTCGCTGAGCAAGCTGAAAGATATGATGGTAACCGTCTCTTTTTTCTTTATTCTCATTTTGTTTCTTTAATTAATTAAATAAAATTGAAATTTCACATCAATTAAATATGATTTCTTTTCATGATAATTGAATTTCTTGAATTATCAATTAGAAATGGTTTCCTACATGAAAGTACGTAAATTGTTATTATTATTATTATTAGAAAAAAGTCTTAATTGTCATTCTTCTTCATCGTCTAATTATTGTTTGTGTCAATGATAGGACGTTGCCAAGGTAATTTATCATTTTATTTTTAATGCATTGATCAAATAGTAATTTTTTTACTATAATTAATTATTCACTTCATTGAAATTTATTTTTATTTTTAGCTTGGTGTAGAACTTACTGTTGAAGAACGTAATCTCCTTTCGGTTGCTTATAAAAATGTAATTGGTGCCCGTCGTGCATCTTGGAGAATTATTTCATCTATTGAACAAAAAGAAGAAAACAAGGGGAATGATACTCAAGTTCAAAAGATTAAAGCATATCGTCAAAAAGTAGAAGCTGAACTCTCCGAAGTGTGTTCGGATATTCTTGCTGTATTGGATGAACATTTAATTCCAGCTGCAGAGGCTGGGGAATCTAGAGTATTTTATTATAAAATGTAAGAAATTATGGTGAAAAATATTTATAAAATAATTAATCTTTAATTAATTAATTCTTTATATACACGCTCTACCTATATCTTTACAGGAAAGGCGATTATCACCGATATCTTGCTGAATTTGCCTCTGGTGAACGAAGAAAAGAAGCTGCAACACAAGCACATGAAGCGTATAAACATGCTACTGATATTGCTCAAACAGACTTGCCTTCAACTCATCCAATTCGCCTCGGACTTGCTCTAAACTTTTCCGTTTTCTACTATGAGATCCTCAATTCACCTGATCGTGCATGTCATCTTGCTAAACAAGCATTTGATGATGCTATTGCTGAACTTGATACTTTAAGTGAAGAGTCTTATAAAGATAGCACATTAATTATGCAATTGTTAAGAGATAATTTAACTCTTTGGACTTCTGACTTACAAGAGGGTAAATATCTTTCGTCCTTTAAAAAAAAATAATGATTTTATACAATTTGTTATTAACGATCACTTATACGACAATTAGAAGAAAAACAAGACGACGCCAAACCAGAAGTTGAAGCAGAAGAATCTAAGTAGCAATTTTATAAATAAATTAATTAATATTAATAAAAAATAATTTTTTTATACATACATCATTTTTTAACATTTTTATATATCATATTGCCCCTAATTATTATTTACATCAAGTGTGAGTGAGTCTGTGTGTAAAATTAATATCTCTTTTTTTCTTTATTTTTATTGCAAGTTCTTTTTATCTTATTAAAAATATCACAATAATAATAATTAGTAATAATAATAATAATAATATAATTTCACAAAAAAATTTCGGGATTCCATTCTAAGGCTTCATAGGGTGTGGTGTGTTGGTTTTATTAATGTTATTTTATTTTTTAAAATTTTCTTTCATTCATATAAAGGAGTCCTTTTTTGTTTTGCCCTCCCTTATATTTTTTTTTAATTATTTTTTTATATTATATATTATATTATATATTAATAATAATACATACATCATACAAGTTTTTTTTTTAATTAAATGCAAAGAATATACATATAAATATTTATATTATTTATACACAAATTGTCAAAGATGGCTACAAAAGATTAAAAGTTAATTTTTTTTTTTTGGAATAAAATTCATGATAAAATCTGAAAATCCCCAACTTAATGTGACAAAACCAATAATTTCCCAATTTATACGGCTTTTATTAATTTATAAAAATATTCAACTTTTGCATAATAAAATTTTTAAATAAATTTACTTAATTTAATAATATAGCATTTTATACCTTTATAATCAGTTTTTTATAATTAAAAACAGCCAACAACCATTATCCTTAAAAACGTACCACAGTTCCAGATGAAGAAGCTATACGTGGCCAAAGATCTGCACATTCCTTCCTGTAATAGCTGAACCTTTCATTTACAATAACACCAGCATTATCTTTAAAAAAATTTATTTCGTAAATTATATTGTTTTAGCAATGTATTAAAAAAAATCAGTTTATTTGTTTACCTTCAAAATATAGAGAAACACCGTTTCTTCTTCTCCAAGGTTTTAGTTGCCTAATAACATTATAAAAATAACATTATTATTATTATAATTAAATGAGGATATAATTTCATATATGGGGGCTTTTCAATAGAACGGACGTTGTGAAAAAGCAATTTTGAGTTAATACCATTGCTATATGCAATTCCTCGCGTAGAACGTTTTTGGCTTAGAAACCATTCCCACTTTGCATAGTAAAATATCGAGATACTTTTCTTTAAAATTTCAAAAACGATAGTAAACCTCTTAAAATGTGGATCTTTTTTTGATTTCCTCAAAACATCATTTTTACAACATGGTCCGTCCTATTGAAAAGCCCCCATATATATAATTAATTAATTTTACCTTTTTTTCTTAAATCAGGTTTCCTTTTTTAACAGTTGTCAATAACCATATCACCAACTCCAGCTGCAAGTAATCTATTCAAACTAGCATGAATACCTTTAACTGAGATAACGTATAAATTTTTGGCTCCAGGATTATCAGCACAGTTCATCACTGCACCATCCTCATAAACTATTGATAAATGTACTAAATTTTTACAAAATTGTGCAATTAATTGAAGTTTATTTCCAAAAATCCATTATTCCGAACATCATCAAGATTTAGATATTTAAGATTTTTTTCATTATTGTTAATAAAATCAAATAGGTCTGATATAAATAATGGATTATGGATATATAATGTCATAGATTCAAGATTTGGCAATAAAGTATCTTTCAAATATTCGGTTTTGATGCCAGAATATACTAAAGATAAAGACTTTAAATTGCATAAAAATTGGTAATATATCAAACACTCCACTGTTTGAGTAAACTGTTATTGATTGTGAATGTGAGTAACTTAAAGAAACATAGCCAAAAATTAAGAATTTAGAAGAGCAAATTGAACGGAACAAAGAAGAAACCAAGCAAGCGAAAAAGGAAGCCGAAAGAGCCAACGAAAGGATCGATAATCTTTTAAAAAGCAACGATTGCTTGATTACTCTAAGTTTGCTTGTTTGAAATTATCTGATAAAGTTTATGAATGAATGGCTAGTTGCTTTATTTGATTTTGTGCTTTAATTAGTTAGCCGGATCATCTTCAAATTTACCATTGTAATCTATTCTTAATAATTGAATGGAAAATGATTTGGTGGTCGAAATGATTTATTGGTCTTGAAGTTTGTGCAGCATAATGGTCATTCAAAATGTTGCCCTAATTTTATTATTACAGTTCACTCTCTCTATAACGGCCTCCATTCTATAACGCACTGTAAATCAGAAACCAAATTTTTACTATATAAAAACCTTACTCTATAACGGTTTTCTTAATTAAATTTCCTATAGTGTATAACGGCCAGCCTCTGGAAATTCTCTCATACGGCTGACGATCATGATCTGAGGTAATCATTACCAAATTAAGAAATTGAGTGTGTCACAATTATTAATATTAATAATTTATTGTCTGTCACTAATGTAAGAGTTTACTTCTTACCACCAAACATAACAACATTTTTACAACAGTGTAATGCCGGGATAATTAACAGCTTCAAGGTGAACTACAAAGAGTACCTCTGGTCAGTTATTAACATGTCTTCTTTAGGAGAGCCACGTTTTGTCATCTTTGAAAAATAAATTGTTTTCCAAAAAAAATCAATTGCATAAATAATTAACACATTTGTTGATTGATCAACAATTATTTTATTTTTTATTTTTTAAAAAAAATGACTACTGAATCCAAAACAAAAAGAAAAAGAAATCAAGAACAAAATTACATTGAAGATGTTATTCATGGGTAAGTGTCATTTATTAAAAGAATGGTGCTGGGTAAGTGTTATAAGAATGGTGGTGGTTATTGCCACCACTCGTCACTCTAGTTTAAAAAATAAATTAGCAGTAGTGCACCATTACTTCCATTCAAAACGGCTTCTAATAATAAAAGAAAGAATTAGCAAAATTAATATTAAGATAACTATTATTTCTTTTCACAAATTAACAATAGTAGTAATGAAAAAGACTCATTCCTATTTGTAACAGAAGGGATTTTGGCCTCATCTTCAGTTTTAGCTGCGTTTAATATTGTAAAGGATGAAAGTTGGGGAATATTTGAAACTTGTGGCAAATTTAACAATGTACAAGATGCTGAAATTTCTGGAAATGAACAGATTAAGAGGTTTGAGCTATACATGAAGTCGAAATGTTTCAACTTGAGGAAACTACATAGTAAAAATCAGTTTCGACCTTATTTCAACCCTATTTCAACCAGATCTGCAAATGGTCGAAATAGTTTCAACTTCATGTATAGTTTGAGCAGGAACTTGGTTTGGAAAGAGACAAAATTTACAATTCAACCAAGGGTTTAAAATATAATAAATTAAGGATAATGATGGGTCAAGATTATGATGGATCCCATATCAAAGGATTAATTATAAATTTTTTAGATTACCCATCATTATTGAAGCAATCTGGTTTTTTAGATGAATTGGTAACTCCCCTTTTTAAATGCAAAAAGGGTAAAGAAATCAAATACTATAAGGTATCAATTAATTTATTTATACCCTCAAAAAAAATTTATAATATTAAAAATTTTTCAGAAAACCATTTTCATTGATGTTTAAATAGGACCTTGCAGCATATAGTGTTCCATGTTGCAATCCAAAAAAGGAAACCAAAGTGGTCGCAAAGGTGGTTGCAACCAGGTGTCACAAACCATTTTTATATGTTGCAAATATGGTTGCAACCATCACCAAGAATTGCGACCAGCATCTATAGCAGCACATACATATGAAGAAATGAGGGAATATCTAAGTAATACTAGCATGTATGTTAAGCAATTTAAACCCATGGATGAAGAAGATTGCAAACTAATTAAAATGGTATTTGCAAAAGAGAATATTAATGAATGTAGAAATTGGATTGAAAATATAGAAGTAAGTTGAAATCATCAATTTCTATAATCAATATATATAAAATCTATATAATTATTGTATATGTAAATTTTAAGCAGGATGGGACATGCATTGATTATAAACAAAATGAGATTAGCATAAAAGACCTCATAAATAAAGAACTCTCCTTGTCATTTATTCATATTAATTTACGATCAATTCCATCAGTTATTGATGGTTTAAAATCTACTCAACGCAAAGTTTTATTCAGTTGTTTTAAAAGACTCAAATAATGGTATTTGGTTATATTAATTATTCACAATCATGCATTTTTTTTTCTTTTTTTTTTTGTTTTTTACATTTAACAAATAATAAATTTATTGATAAAATAAATAAATGTTAATAGGTTTCAGAATTGTCAGGTTATGTTTCTGAAAATACCAAATATCATCATGGTACAACAAATCTTGATCCTATAATAATTGGTCTTGCACAAAATTTTGTAGGATCTAATAACATCAATTTGTTAGAGCCTATAGGTCATTTTGGTAATAGAAATGATGGTATTAAGGGTAGGCTCCATGTAATAAAGTCACACATATGTTAATTAGTGCTGATCGTGGGGTTTTAAATTTTTTAAGAATTCAAAAAACTTGTGACTAGTACAAGTCTTTAACCAATCAAACAAAATTTGCGAAAAAAACCTCCTTGGTTTTATTAAATATAGTATTTATATTATGAAAACATGTTTTGTACTTTTTATACTCTCTTAAAAAAGTTTTATATTAAGTAAAAAAAAATTTTTGGTTGCTCATCTTTTTTGCATTACTATTTATCTACAGAATTATTTGCGAACAAAATATTCTTAATTTGGGAAACATGGTAAAACAAAACTTTTATGACTTTTTTTAAATAAAATCAATCATAAATTTTTTTATCCCTTGTTCCTTAAACCTTGTTTCTATAAATGGAAATTGTTTAGTGAACAAAAATAGGGATAGTAAATATCTACATCCCGCATAATTTACTTTATATGTGTTACACATGGAGCCTACCTTAATGAAAAGCAAAAATGTTCAAAGAGCATGAGTAATTTAATTTATAATTTCCAAAAATATTGTGCTGATACCAAAAATGAAATGACATCAAATGAAATCATGGACCTAAAACCAACATCAGAGTTTGTTCTGAGGTATGCAGAAGAGGTTGACCATATTCAAGTTTTGAAGGAAGTTTTTGAACCTGTTGACAAGTTATTTCCAGACAAAGGCTTCTA